ATTATAAATATTATATCAATTACAAACTTATAATATTTTGGCTGCATATTAAAAGTGGCAAAGTTTGTCAGAATTAGCTTTTAAACTCTGTGCTTTAAGAGAGAGAAAAATTTCACTTTAGAAAAAGCAGCAGGTTTTTGTGTCAGCTGTACTTACAGCAAACTGCATGTCCTGAAGTTGAAATGAAAGCGACAAAAAAAATTCCTTTCATTCAACTGGTAACCACGCTACTCTCCTAATGATCATAGTTATGGTTAAACTTGCAAATGGGCAACATTCCCACATACAAAGAGATCGTTTGTTTCTGCTTTTTTAACAAGTTAAACCAGGGTTCCTTCTTGCCTGCCACTGTATTCCAGCCACCACAACGTCAAGCCCACGAAAAGCCCTCACTGGGGCTCAATGTAAAAAAACAACATTTTTTTACATGACTATCTCTTTCCTCTCTATTTATTGTGTCATATATCATAGGCTCAGATTGTCTAATATTATGCGAAAATCTACTAGAAGGAGAGAAAAACAAAAGAAACTTCCAGGGAAATTCATTAAAGGGAAATAAGATATTTGACCCAATTTAAAGGAACAAAATACAATCAGTAATAGAATCCATTTAAATTCCTCAGATGGATACACGGTTCTTCAGTAATAAAAAAAGCAAACGAAACAAAACTTACCACCTCAGAATATCTATTATAAGAACAAGATTTTAGATGACTTCTCTCCTGCCAAGTGCAATTGTTTGCATTTTAAGGGATCCACGAGCACAGCTTAGTATCAGCAAACATGGATTATAATAAACAAGAACTGTGAGAGACTTTGGAAAGATTTAACCAGGATCCATTACAATAAAAACTGTGACATAGTGTGGATGATACTCCTACAAGCCTTACATTCACATCTCACAGACACTTGCATAAAGCAGTTGTTGGTTGCTGACAGCATGAAGTAAAACAAGCTGCCTCAAAGCTGCTTTGGGGCTACTCTCAGCTCCCTGCAACACTGCTTCTTCTCTGCTCCATGGATGCTTCAGCCAAGGGTGGAGTAAAAAACATCAATTACTGAGAAATGAGTTTCATAGTGAAAGGTAAATGAAAGCAAATGAATAGAACTAACGTTATAGAAATGGTCTTAATGGTTAGAACATAATGATCAGGTCTGCAAACAGCAACCTGTTTGTGAGGCAACAATCAGCAGAGAGATTTTTCCTCACCCTTCCAGCACCACACCTATGAGACAGTGGCTGTTTATCCCTAAGTGATGGCCTGTTGCTACAATTACCAGAGGACTTTCAAATGCCTTTGCCTCCTCAGTGCCTTCAGAACTAATCAACAGGCAACAGGAGAGAAAAACTGCAAGCTGCTGAATGGGCAGGCTTGTCTGGATATGAGGTCCATTTTGAGGCATAACTGATCATTTAACAACATATCACCTCCTTGGTCCTCCCACACAGGTGTCTGGGGAGGAACTAGTTCCGGATGATGCTTTGAACCTGTGAAATCCCCTACTAAAACCTGTCAAGTGCTGAATGTGGCACAGATGAGGTGGAACCAAACTGCCTTGTGAAAAGCAGATACTTCACAGTTCTTGCTTCACTGCAGCAAATGATCTGCTGACACCAGTGGGAGTTTTGAGCCAGGATCAGCTTCCGCTGAGGAGAGCATTCAGATATTCTGTTGGTAGCAACAGTGCTCTCAGGGGAACCTCACTGGTAGGGAAACAGCCAGTTATCTTCAAGCTGCTACTTACTAAGGCTTTCCCAGCAGGATGTTAACAGCTACCAGACAGGAGAAAACTTACAGGAGAGTCCCTGAGGATAAGAGTACCCAGGTGGCCACGGCAAAAAAAAGGCAAACAACGGGGGTAAAAAAAAAAAAAAAAAAAGAGAATCCCAGCAGTACAGGATGGGACATTAGAAGACAATGTCTCAGATCCTCAGCATGCTGCTTCCCGGGAGCACACCTGAGCTTACCTGTGGCTGTGAGCTCTGCAACATGTGCAGATTGTCTGGGAGAAACTGAGATGATGATCTCTGGTGTGACTTAGCCTTCATTACTAATGCTGGCTGAACCAACTGATGTTTTTAACCATCTTCCCAGAACTGGGCTGAGATCAGGAAGTGCTACTGAAGTGCAAAGACGTTGCTAAATATGCAACACACATTCAAAATGGAAGAGGCTTCTTACTCCAGACCACTTTATACTCTAGTTCCATGAGTTCAGAAAAGCACAGCCTTTAACATAACTCTGCAAATTGCCAGTATATCCAGTATTACAAAAAAAAAAAAAAAAAACTACACCACACTTTTTTCCCTCCCTCAGGGAACAAATACATTTTTTCTTGCAGGACCTTTGCTGTCTGCTATGCAGCCAACACTTTAATATTTTAATTACTAAAAAAAAAAATAAAAATAAGCCACTTACACTTACTCTTTGCTTTTTCATGCCCCTAAGACTCATAAAACCAAACACAGCTCAGTATTAGTGCCCAGACATCTCAAGCAAGCTGTTGCAAACGGCAGTCTCAAGCACATCAGGTGTGTGAATGCAATTTAGAAAAAAAAAAAAAAAAAAGTGATCTTATTCTGTAAACTCTGACCAGATTTTTGCTTGAAAGCTCTTTGGTGACAGGCACAAATAAAATGTGCAGTTGTGGAAGGGTCTTCAAAATGCCTGGCTAACTCCTATTTGCTTTTCCTGGAGAAGAATTTGAATAAGTGGGGTGTGATCTGCTCCCTGCATGACCTGGGGACCATCCACCCTCTGCTTGGGGCTCATGTTGCTTCTCTGTAGAGGGGGAGTCAGAGTTACACCTGGAGTTTCCCCACCCAAGCAGCTCCCCATTGCAGGCAGGAATGGGCTGTTCCCATTCAGGAAAGAAGTCAAGGGAGAAGCCATGTGATCCTTTGCCACAATTCCTATCGACAGAAGCTGCAGTTTGCTGAACGTTTCCTTTAGCAAACTGGCCTTTGTTTCAGCAGGGACACGTTTGTGGTGGAGGCCACTATTGTTTCAGCCACCTGATCCTAGTAAAGGATCCCTATGAAGATCTCCTCTGGAGAAAGGTGGTGGCTAGTCCCACTTTGTCCCTTCCCAATTATGGTGCCCAGAGACTTCACTCAGCTACTAAAATGCTGATAGTTTTTTCTCATAAACATTGTCAAGAGATCATATGTACCCATCATCCTCTCCTTAGTCTTGCCTTGTTTATTCATTTCTACTTTTTTTTTAAATCTGCTATCAACAATTCACTAGCTTTTCTTGACTTCCCACCCAAACTTTGCTCCTCTCTTATTCTAAGCCATTGTTATTTAAGTAAAGCCTGCATTTCAATAAATAAAACTCATGCGTGAGAAACTCTTCAATTATTGTCTTCACATGACTTATGGCAAGACAGGTTCTGCTAAAGGGGTGAGTCATTCAGCAAAGGGAGAGGAAAACTGTTCATTATGTATTTGTGAAATCCCCAAACCACTGAAAAGGCACCATTTACCAACAAAAAGCATCACAGGATGCACATGAACCAGCAAAGTGGGTGGAGCCCTTCCAGAAATGACTGCAAAACCAGAGGCACCTTGTCAGAGGCCTCTTTCTCAGGATCCAGTACATTAAATTGAGTGGAGGTGCAGGTTTTTCAGCTTAAAGGATTTGCTCTCAAGAAATCAAAACTGTAAGTTTTCTTCTGTCCCTCAGGGGAATACCAGAACAACCCAGGCTTTGCCTGCTTCAGCTAGTCTCCTGAGCTGCATCCCCCTTAGCACTGATATCTACAAAAAAACAATAACCAGCATGCGCCCATGCCTCAAAATCAAACCTGTTTCTTCATTTCAGCTATGTTTCTGCCACAGCTCAGATCAGTGGACTGTGGTCGCTCCTTCAGACTTAGGTCTGAATTCAAAATCTCCTACCACCTATCACCTATCAGCTTGTGGATAATAAGTTTTGGTTGTGCCTCCACTCAAAATAAAGCAAGTCCCAGGAAGACAGGCAGCTTGTACACCCAGAGACAAACAGGGAGACTGTATATATGACCCTATAGGTAAACTCACACTGGTTCCTGGCTCTCAGAAAAGACCTACTAGCCTGAAGAATCCAGCAGCAACTCACGAATAAATAAACTCAGCAAAAGCCCCACCTTTCCCAGCTGTCCTCACAAGCACTCAGCACCATGAAAAGATACTTGCCACCAAGGCTTGTCTCAGGAAAGAGGGTGTATACAAGTCACTCAAGCTGCAGGTCACAAACGGTGGCCCAGCCCCAGGCAGCACAGGAGAGCAGAGCACGCTCTGTCCGCCCCTCTGAGCCCATCAGGTCCCTCCTCCTCCCCAAGCCTGGAGCAGAGCGACAAGACAAACATCGTTGCAAGAGACGGAGAAGGAGCAAATCTCAGGGGACGCTTACAGCACTCGATGGGGTTGGATGCTGCCTGCAGAGAGACGATCCTGCCGCTGGACTCGGGGATGTGCACGCGGAAGACGAGCCGGACGCGCGTGTTCTTCCTGCCGATGTCCGTCTCGCCCTTGCGCAGCTCGATGTCTGCGTTCCTCAGCTTCAAAATCCCCGCGCAGTCGATGCTGTCAAACACACACGCCGTTTAGCGCAACGTTTCTGCTTTCAAACAGCTTGGAAAGAGGCAACAGCAAAGGGCATTAAGCTGGTTTGCATCTACCTCAGGTTAAGAGCAGCTCCAGGTGCTTGCTCTGTTTAGGATCTTCCACTGCCACTCCAGCAGTTACAGGGGAAGATGTCCCAGACACAGTGAGTGAGGGATGGATGCTGCTGCACTCCGCTCCAGAGTCTGGGCCCAGTGGCTCAGCATGTCCCAGGCATGTCCCAGCCAAGGGCTAAAAGTGGCCTTTGCTCTGGTGACAGCAGGAGCCACTCTCCAAACATTGTATTTTCCTCCCGTGCTAAGCGTGACTGCATGCAGCAGAGCCCACCCCAGCACACCGAGGCAGGCAGGAAGCTGAGCCCGTGCTGCACCCCTCTAGGAGCTTCCACCACCAGCTCGCCACTAGCTTAGTGCCCAGCACAGCACCTATCGCCTGTGCATGGGCAAATGAGTTCAGCTCCACAGGGAATCCCAGCAGCTGAATCAGCTAACTGCACCATGCAGGCACATTTTCCCCACGGTTTATAATCCAAGCATTGAATTCAACTCCAAAGCAGGAACTAATCTGCTCTCTCCTCTCAGACAAGGTGCTACTGCTAGGACTGGGCTCCCCAGCCCTAGCCCAGGTCACCATGTCATCCTCCAAAGCCCTGGGATGTTGTCCCAGTCAAGGCAATAGCCTGGCCGAGCGAAAGATGGTTCTCTGTTCCCATTCACCATGTCCCTGCTCAAAGGGAGGATGTAGGGAGTAGGATGGGGCTGAGCAGCACTGAGAGAATTAGGATTGATTAAACCAGCATTGCAACTTGATATTCGTGTAAGTGCAGGTTAACTTCTTAGGAGTGCAGCATAACCTAGCAAACAACTGTGTACATTTAGAGAATGTGCCAGTAAATATTTACAGAATCTGAGATCTTCAGCTCAGAAATAGTCCTCAGAGGGCACAGGGAGCACTGTTACTAAACAGGCACTGCCAATCCTTTTTGATATCTCTTCTAAAGACATGCTATTTTCCTTCTTTTGGTATGAATTAAAAGCACATTTTAGGAGGCACAAACCCCAAGCTGTTTCCTACACTCACACTGTTCCTTGCCATTGCATGTGCGCAGGAGTTTATTACTCCGGGGTTACTTGTTAGGAACAGACAATTGTGTTCCATTCAACACCTGGCTGCTTAAATTTGAGATGTGAACTTTTATTTATTTCCTTGGGTGCAAAGGGAAGGAAAGGCAGGAATGAGGTATATGTTCTGAAAAAAGACACATAAAGAACGTGGATTTTGCGATGAAATGGGGGGGCTTAAAAACGTTGCTGCTCTGCCAATTTTGTCAGTATCCTCTGAAGGATGGAGATACAGCTCTTCCCTCTGCAGATCAATCACACTCATGCTGCCTGGAGCACATTCAAGCCTGAAGCTTCAGACTGGTGCCCACTTCATCCCTCTGCCTCCATAAAACTGGAAGGAGTAATACAGAAAAGATGTGCCTGTACTTGCTTTTCTGTTAACCTATTACAAGAAGAGTGCAATTTCATGGCTAGAGCACTTGGCTGAGTTCAGAATACTCATTTTCCATTCCATGTTGCAGAATGAGTTGTACACCTTTCCTCCACCGTCTGCTGCTCCTTGCTTCTCATTGCATCCCTGAAGCATAATGACTTAAGATTTAACTCTGGTTTTCCTTAGTGCCCTACAAAACCATTCTGACTTTGAAGATGACAGATGATTACAATATAGTCACTGTGGCAATTTGGGTAAAGAGCAGAAATGTCTGCATGGCCAGCTGGTGAATGGTAACTCTTTACACAGCTTTATCCCAGGTGCTTGTAACTGCTGCTCATGCTTCTGTAACAAGGGTCTTACAGTCATATATCATCCCTGTGCTTCGGAAAGGGGAGTCCCTCCAGAGCAGACATCATTCACTTAAGTGACTCCTTGCCACAGAAGAAAGAACTTCACATGCCAATTTAATCCTCCCTTCTCAGCATTGCTAATGAAAAGAAATATGCTTACGTTGCTTTCATGTTATTCTTCGGTTCCAACGGGATCTCTAAAACTTTGGTGTTGCCGATGATTTTTTCATAGCTGGTGGTGGTGACAGTTTTTCCTGTAATACGATGGACTTGATAGAAAGCATGAGGTTTAAGTATCCGTTCATCTGCTGTCCCAATGAAGATCTGAAGACCCAAGGGTTTGTTCTCCATGTAACCATGAAGCTGGCAAGACATTGAAAATTCTATTATCACATACAGAGTTTGCAATACCTCCATGTCAGGAAACCAAACAGATCTACGGACATATTCAGATATGGAGAGAGATAGAGACAAAGATATGTGACATGCAGCTTACACATGCTAGTTTCTGTCCAGCCTAACATTCAGTAGAATGATTTTGCCTCAGTTCAGCTTGTGATCCCTACTTCAACTGCAGTTAAAAAGTAAGGGATTTTTTCCCCCTCTAAGCAAGAAGTAACTAGTGAATACGTCTTATGATTGAAAAAGGAAATGTTAAACTACATATAAACATTTCAGAAACTAAAGATCCCTGCCTACACCCACTTCAAACCCAGTTGGAAAGACTGTACTCCCAGCCCCTCACTTTGCTCAAGTCCTTCCAAGCTTCACATCTCTCCAGCTTCTCTGTGTCCCTCACACCAGACATAAGCTGCCTTCTTTCATCGTCAAAGCTCTGCTCTTCTCTTCACGCTCTCACATCTCACATTCTACCCAGTTCTCAACACCTATTCCCAAACCCAGCTGCAAACATCAAATTCTTAAACACTTACAGCATTGCATTGTCTGCCCATCAGACTCCTCTCCCGGGGAAGATGTTCCCTTTTAATATCTACATCTCCATCCTATAAATCTCCCTGTCTAGAATTCTTAAATAGTCTTAAAAGGAAATATGTTCATGTTCTCCTGAGATCACTTATGTAGACCAGCATTGATTCACTGCTCTCTGAAACTCATCCTTCCCCCAGCTGTTGCTTCACCTTCAGCCATCCTACTTGCATTAGAATGCTCTCTGTATAGGTGGAGATGGCATTTTCAGTCTGTGACTGTGCAGTACCTGGCACAAGAAGGTCTTAGTTGGCCTTAGAAGATTGGGGCCTCTAGGGTTCAAGGACATAAACAGACTCTTCTGGACTAAATAACATTTTATAAACAGCATTTGCTGCAAGAGAAGCAAGAAAGCCAGAATGCCTCCATAGGCCAGGAGACAAGGAAATTTCTCCTTTTAGCATTCAAAATTACAAATCAAACTATTCTAAATCTCTCATATAACCAAAAATTAAAACCAGACTTTTATCTACCGCATAGCCAGCAATCTAGCTGAAAGGGAACTTTATGGTCTGAGACATACTAAATTTGTTTTCAATTATTCTGTCCACATACAAAACCTTGATGAAGCCTTACAAAGCAAACAGTACTGGAAGATCAGAGAAAAGTAAGATTAAGCTAACGGTATTCATGGCCAAACTGTTTCTTTTTTGTTGTTGTTGTTGCTTGTTTGTTTGTCTGTTGTTTTGGGGTTTTTTTCCCCTTTTTTCTTTTCACCAGTCAGCAGGAGGTATCTTTGCATAGACAGATTAATTCCCCCCTAGAAGGGGACCACATGCAGCATCAATGCAATCCTGGCAACCTTCCTTCAGTGTGGCAAACGTAAAGTGACACTCACTCTTCTGAGCTATCATTACTCATCTACCACATATTTGCAAGGCATACAAAGACAGGGTCTATGCCCCAGAGACCTTACAACCCAAGGGCCAGACTTTGCATCCTCTGCTACATGAATAGCTCCACTGGAGTCAACAGGCCTTAAGTAGGGCTTGTGCAAGAAAGAATTACAGAATGCAGCCCAGCCACAGCTCAGACACCTACGACAGATCAGTCGGCACAAGCGCTTCAGGAGGTTGTGAGGAGGGAAAGGAGGGTATGAGGCTTTGTGCAAACATGCCAGTTGGCTCTGAGAGCCAGGTGGAGGAGGAACGGAGCTGGACTCCAAGCACAAGGGTTGGTAGTGGAGAAGAAGCATTGCCAAGAATGTGATAAATAAGATGGCAGCCACGGAGAGATTTAAAAATGCATAGAGTGTATAGAAGATTAAAGGCAACAGAGGTCAAAATGATCTATCTGCTGGGAACAGGCATGAATGTAGGAATCAGCCCCTGCTTAACCATGGAGACCCATTAAGTTCGGGTCCTCTGGGAGCCATACTGAATCTCATCCTAAGTATGGTACTTTTAAAATCCAAGATTTCCTGGCCTTCAGTAAAAAGCCATTGTACGACCAAAATCCATCTTGTCTCTACAGGGGGAGAGGGAGAAGAGTAGTTTTTAAGTACTGAGCATGTTTGCTGTCATGCCTGACAGAGTAATTCTTTGTGGATCCAGCAAAGATGATGAGACGATCCTTTGGATTGGAACTGTTATTACAGTCACAGCAAAGCAGTTTTCACTCTACCCTCTGCCAGGCAGAAAAAAATCCCAGAATTATGGGTGGGAGACTAGAATAGAGGAAAACAGATAATAAATTAGAAAATAAAATTTGCCCCTAGTGAGCATGGTCAGTAGCAGCTCTAACAGAACTGGCTACATACACAGCTTTTAATACTGACTACCTTTAAAAGTAATTTTAAGTGGTGTTTTTGTGCCTGTGTACAATGAGCTCCCAAGGCAAAACTATTCACGTATGTCTGTGGGTGTGTGTACAAATGTATATATGCTTAAAGAACAGGGGAATTGAGTGCCTGTTTGTATCATCTGCTGGATGAGGGGATGTAAAACGTAGTAAAAGGCCCTCTGGTCCTTCACAGGACCAGGTTTTATATCAATTGTTAGATCAGTGGGAGAAAATAACATAGTTATTTGGTAATTTATGACATTACGGCAATGCTTTGGGATGACATCACTGTAAAATCAAAACAGCATTATACAATGCTGTTACAAAGAGAAAAAAAATATATGTAAAAGAGTCAAGTATTCCCTTGTATCACCCTTAAAAGATTAAGGTCCTTATCTTGAGTTAATTGATTGTATTTTAAAGGGTAATATAGGTAATCTTTTACCATAAGCATTTCCATCTACACAACGACGACGTGGACCTGTTGGAACATGTTCAGCAGAGAGCCACAAAAATGCTGCGAGGGCTGGAGCAGCTCTGCTGTGAGGACAGGCTGAGGGAGTTGGGGATGTTCAGCCTGGAGAAGAGGAGGCTCCAGTGGTACCTTACAGTGACCTTCCAGTGCCTGAGAGGGGCCTACAGGAAAGCAGGGGAGGGACTGTTCACAAGGGTTTGTAGTGACAGGACGAGGGGTAATGGCTTTAAGCTAGAAAAGGGGAGATTTAGGTTAGACATTAGGAAAAAGTTCTTCAGTGTGAGGGTGACAGACCACTGGAATAGGTTGCCCAGACAGGTGGTGGAGGCCCCATCCGTGGAGACATTCAAGATCAGGCTGGATGAAGCTCTGAGTAGCTTGATCTAGTTTGAGACGTCCCTGCTTATAGTGGGGAGGTTGGACTAGAGGAGCTTTGGAAGTCCCTTCCAGCCCAGACATCCTACGATTCTACGATCTACCTTTCACTTGCTAGGAGCACATCAGAACAACTTAGGAACAAAAAATGAAGAGGTGCAGCCCACAGAAACGTTCCAGGAACTTTAAAATCAGAGTTTTACAATCAGTTCTGTCACCAAATTACTACATAGCTTTGGTTATGTCATAACACCTCTATTCATCTGTAAAAAGGAACAGTGATGCTAACCCTACTTTGCAGAAATGAGTTAATATCCTGTGCTGCATTTTTATACAGAAAAATCCTCTGTGAACTAGAACAAAATAACATATTAAAGCTCCATATTCCTCCCTTAGCAACAACCAAGGCACTCAAAAGAAGCCTCCGTTTTTCAGTCCTTCTCTTCTGCTTATCTCACGGGACAGAAGGCAGCTTGCCATGCAGCTGCCCGAGGGGAGGGCACAAAGCCCTGCAGTGGGACCACAGCAGAGACCAGCCCCACACGAAGGTGTTCCTTCGCTCTTTTTCGTTCTTCTTTCCGCCAAGAAAACAAAATAATCTGAATTTCAGTTTCAAGAGAGTGAGACTTGAGAAAGATTTATGAATGCAGAACTCTAGGAAGAAATATTTTTGTGTATTATAAGGTGACCTATTCACAATGAAACTCCCCCAAACTGTATACAGATCAAGCTGGAAAAAAAACCAACTCCTTTGAGTCACATTTGCCACAAGGGGAAAGAGAAGCCAGACATGATGTGTGCCTTTCCATGGTCTATTTTGGGATTTTAAGATCCTATTTCTTTCAGTTGAAAGATTTTTCTTAAACTTGGCTTTTTCATAACTCTTGTAATATTAACAGCCAGACATGGGCTGGTCTGTGACCTAAGGAAATGCAAAGCACTTTGGCAAATAAACAAATAACATCATTCAGAAAACAAGGAGCTTTTCTTGTTTGGTTTGCTCCTATGATTTGGTTTCTAAACAAAATGGAAATAGGTGGCATGATCAGAATCATCAGCTCACCACTGCATAAATAAAATTCATTCATTCTGCACTCCATCCATGGATCAATACCAGTCAAATTTGGGAGAAAGTGGTATTTAAATGCCATTTTCAGGAAAGCACACATAATTCTGCATGCAAAAAAGTGAGCAGCTGTACCTTTAGCTGCCATGTATCAGCAAGCCAGTTATCCACTTGAATGCAATTCCTGTAACAGTACTGGCAACCACAGCCACCAAGACCACATTAGGCATGCAAAACAACACTTTTTTTCTCTGCACTATTTCAAAACTCAGTTCTTCTTGCAAAATTAGACCCCAGCTCCAAATACACAAGCACTTAAAGGCAGGTTTTAAAATTCACATCCAAATCAGTCTCTACCCCAGTGTTCAAGTGAACTAAACCCTGCTGCGAGGATTTAAGAATACAGGTTCACATTTGATGTGCTGCACAAATAGCAGATCTTTTTGCATGAGTGAAGCCTGCAGCACTGCCGAGTTATGCTGTCTGGTAACCAAGTGATAAATTGCCAGCTGAGTCAGAAAGGCAGGCAAATTCCTTCAGGATTCTGTAGGTGGTCACCTATAGATATAATATATGCATACACAGAGGGAATTAAGTGAAACCTTCAGAATTTAGATCTTTCAATCTTGGACACATATACTGGAGTTTAAATTTTATTATATTTTATATAGAATTACA